CGGCTGTTGTCCACCGTCGAGTTTGTGATCAACAACAGTCCAACGCAGGTGAACGGGTACACGCCGTTTACTTAAACTATGGCTTCCATCCATGTACTCTGGCAGACCTCATCCGCGATAGTGACTCTACTCTCATTGAGGGAGTCAGCCAGTTCGTAGAGCGGATGAAGAGGAATTTCTCAATGGCAGTCAAATTTCTGAACCGGGCTCAAGATCGCAGAGAAGGGAACAACGGTTCAGTAGTGGGGATCAGGTGCTGCTCTCAATAGAGCACATCAACTTGAAGAATGCACCGATCTGCAAGTTGAAGAAGAGGTCTGTTGGCCCATTCTTCATTGTCCGTCTGGTGGGACAAGTGGCCTACGAACTTGATCTTCCGATAACGTGGAAAATACACAGTGTGTTCTGCATCAACTTGTTGCACCCTTTTAGGACCAGTTCATGGACGCAACCCACTACATTTGGTCAGGTGGAGAAGATTGAGCTCGAGGATAATGAGCCATATGACGTTGAGAGATTACTGCGTTGGCGGTGGACCGGTCCTAGTACCAAGCGGCAGAAGGAGTACTTGGTCCTTTGAAAGGACTATTCATTGGATGATGCCACTTGGACTCCTGAGGAGAACTTTACCTACCAGGAGGACCTCAAGAAAATGATCAAGAGGGACATACCAGTAGAGGATAATTAAGGCCACTGGTTAGCCTAATGTTTCAAGGGCGAAACTACCCCCCGGGGGAATTATGTAGTGTAAAGCACAGGGGGTAGTGTGTTTCTTTGGTTATGGGTATCTGGGAAGTACAATAAACATTAATGAACAATCTCATCCTTTAGTTGAACTTACTAGGAACCCATAGGTTCTTGAATCACTCCATTTCGGTTAGCGGTAGTGGAGATATAGCTACTAAAAGTTACAGTACTTAAGAACGCCTCCACAACCGTACTGGGGGATGAGATACTATCGATACGGTGACATTGGCTGCATTGTCACGCGATGCGAGGCACACCAAAGGGTGGCCCCGATGCCCGACGGTTGTAACTCTTGCTGACCACTCGTCTCCACGCGGCTGCACCTGTAGGCCACACCAGCATTGCGCACTCACTGCGCGCACTACCGCCCCACGCCCGGCTGATCGCAGGACTGGGCCCACACTGCACACCCCGAAGGAATGAGCGCCCCGGACCGCCCGCCATCATTCGGTGGAGGAGGCCATTCCAGCCGGATTGGGCGCCGCGGCGGGCACATTGCCCGCGCATCGAGCCGAAAACCACGCCATCCAGCCTCTCATTGCCTCTCACAATGTGCCGCAGCCCGTGCAGTCCTAGCACTCACTTCTGTGCGTAGCTCCTCGGTCAGTGTCTCCATTCATGTTTGCACAGTCTGAACTTCTATGTCCACTCCACGGCTGCATGCCCTCTACGCCTCCTAGTCCCATTCATGGATATCCTGGCATGGCTCGAAATACTCAGACAGGGTAGGGAAAACGTTCGCACGGCCCCCCGCAGTCTTATGCTGCCAGATGGAGCACTCGGCCTTCCAATCGGGATGCCCATTGTGCGGCCTTCCAAAGCACTACTCGGTCAACCAGCAGCCTTCCTATGCAAGCTCCACTCCAGCTTGTGGCACCACACCGCCAGAGGTAACGTGGTCTTCGTCATGTTGTTTTGCATCCTCACGCAGCCAGGCGCACAAGCAAAATGGCCCCGCACACCATTCCTTCCACGTCCTTCATGGCCGTGCCCATCGCATCTGACGAGATCTTGCTAACTATTCACGTAGGGCCTGTGGGCATACCACAATACTCTAGGCGCTCTGTCAGTATGACAAGGTGCGCCAGGCTCTCTTTCTAGCATCCTTACTACCCCGTACTACCCAGTTTGGTCCGACGCAGTTAATGCAGCCTCACTATTATAATGTTTTGTGGGGTTGGTGGCAATTCCCTTTGCCTAAAGTGCATTAGCACCGGGGCATCATCCCCTTTTATAGCATTGGAAAAATGCCATTCTTTTGTCGCTGAAATAGTGGCATACTTAGGCCATCCCATTCAGTGAGGTTATTGGCAGTGGTAGTATAATGAACGAGCACCAATACAGGCAAAGATGGCTATAATTTATGGTCCATTTTGTGGTAGCTCGAACAGCATTGTAATTAGTAAGCGGGGCTCCATCCCCGAGTGTGCACAGAGAAACGCCAAAGTGAGCCCAAAACCCGCCTTCGTTACACAAGCAAAGCCGTGTGTCCATATATGGTCCAAGTGTGGGCTCTGCTACCCAACAAGGTACCGTTATTAGGAAACTTCCAATGGGCACTGCCCATTGGGCAGGACCTCACAAGTCTCACACACGTGTTCCTGCTGAGTGCCATGGCACCACGGTCCCTATGGCAACGTTTCCATGCACCTATGTATGCACTTAGCTCTGTCACATCAGCTATCACTGTTTCCCTCAGTATTCCATGCCCTGGTAACGGCGTCCCGTACTTAGCAGATTAAATATACCACATTCCATTACCCTAGCACCGTTGCCCTCCAAGCACCGTACCAAACATGTATGCCCATGTATCAAAACGGTTACCCATGCCACTCGGTTTTCAGTAACCTTAACATATAAACCTTTCAGCACTTACAATAAGGTTCTGCAGTTACCCACATCGTTACCCGTCGCCACCTAACCCGTTACCCTGCCATGCCACGCCCTGCACCGCCACACTATGTCAAGGTAGCTGCTGGCGCCACTGTTGTGACTAGTGGACATTTGGTCAATTAGAGGGAATTATAGTCACATCATGTTGCTGTTGGGAAGCCACGTTAGAGGGTTGTTTTTGGGATTGTTTAGTGTCGCCTGTACTGATTTACTTTGTACTTTTGGGCCCACCAGTTAATGGTTGAACATTATACTTATTTGGACAATCTATTGAACGTTCTTTTTATACTGGTTGTACCGTTGCCTGTTCGTTCCTACGTGTAACAATTGCTGTGGGAACCCGCCTCGTGCCTCCGCACCAACAACCCGGGACGTGCCCAACCGGGCACAACAGCCACCCTGGATAACTATTGTTGCCCCTGATAACGGCCTTCTCCTCTATGGTAGCCGTTGTGGCCACCAAGGTATCCTCCGCCGCCATTGGGTTAATCGTCGCCTCCACCAAGGTAATCGTCGCCGCTGCCAAGGTAAGCATCAGGTCGTCAGGGTACTTGTGGTCCCCCCGGTGGTAATGGGCAGGCTTCGGGCGTCGTAGCACCTCTCTCCCCATGTAGATCATTAAAAGAGTGCAGCTGGTCATCAAAGGAGGCCACGGCCCCTCATCATGGATCGTCATCAGGAACAGACCTCACGGCGCAACGTCAAGGCCACGGCACGTCATATGTTCATCTTCAAGGGTACGGCGCATCATCAAAAATGGCACATCTTGTCATGTAATCATCCAGCACGTCTCCACAAGTGGCAGGTCATCGTTGGCAACCATCCAGGCCGGGCACGTCTCCACAACGTCATCACGTCAGTCCTAATCACACCTGGGCATTGTATGTCTTCCCATGCCAACATTCATCTATTGTAGGTACAACTATCGTACAGATAAAGAATCAGAAACTACAATCAGACCCTGCAAATGTATTAATGGAAAAGAACCAATCTCCATAGGGGTATTTCACAAAACGCCACACAAACAGATGAATCTTGCCCTTATACGGATGGATGTTGTTCCAAGGCCCCTAGGGCTTGGGGAACTTGAGACAAGCATCATGCGTTTAAGGGCAAGATCCATCCATTTCTTGGCCGGATTATTTCTACGACTTTTCTTGTGCGTACCCCAGTCGCCCGGCGGGCATCGATGAGGGCCGGGTGATCGGTACAGAAAAGGTGGCGATGTCCTGCTCCCGCCTTTCAAATTGACAGCAGCTGGGTCCCGCACTTCGGGGCTTTTAGAAGCAACGAGCCCATATCGTGTGATGTGGGTGGCCGTTCAGCAACCGGGATGTGTTTGTCCGCGTGGGCAAGCTAGAAAGGTCTGCTGATATGGGAATGACGCAATCAGTGAGCCTCTGTTTACATCAGAAGCTCAGAATCTCCGTCAACTTCCATTCGATGCGGTATATGGGTGGACGCAAGTGATGCACCAGGTGTTCTACGGGGTATTGGCGGGTACTGGCGGAATCGTTTCTGGGTCCTCGGCTGTCTTGGACCCGTGGTTCAAAGTGCGTTTGAATGCAGGCCAACAGAGCCATGCATTGTAGGCACACTTTCAAGGTGAGCCCAAGCTTGGTTTTCAACGCGTCTCAAATGGTAGAAAGGCAATGCAGTTGAGGCACTGCCCAGAGCCACGGAGACAAACCCTACTGTTACATGGCGAACACGAATTTATTCGCATCCATGCCCTTCAATCTTTGCATTAACATCCCTTGTCTGCTGATCTAATACTGACCCAATCTGTGCCAAAAATAATGAGCAACATTCCACCACGTTGGCCCAAGCAACTTCGTCTGTGAAAAGCTCCCACATGCAGCAACCTTGTGATCCACAGACAAGTTGGCACACAGCGCCATTCACCTTCTCTCCCTTGAATCATGACACCAAGGCAAGCCCTGGAGCAAGGGCATTGCAATGCTCCCTTTCCTTCCAAGCAAACCCATGTTCCTTCCAGCAATCTCATTGCTGTCAAAATGTGCAGGCAACCTTGGGTAGCTCTGCCCCATCGTCGATCCATCATTAACGCACACAAGGTGCAGCAAGCACCCCCGTGCAGCGATGGAGCAGCCAAGCATAAGCCAAGCGCCACTCCATTCCGCAGTGTCACTTGTGGCTTGGACATGCAGGGCAGACGCTGCTCCCCAGAAGCAGCAAGCAGATCGCTGAGACTGTCTGATGAGCGACGGAATTCCACGTGCCCCCCCCCCCCTCCCCCGCCCCCCCTACCACCACCAACCTGCAACAAAACAACAATCGAAGCAGCCGTCAAATGACAACTAGTCACATATGCAATGTGCACAACATGTGGCCCGTTGCTATCTCCTCTGCCCCTTTGACTTCCCAGAGTTTGTGTCCTCTGACGAGCGCCTGCCCCTTCCTCCACCCCTTCCTCCACCCCTTCTTCCCCTGGAACCTCGGCCCTCCTGTGGAGCACATCCCTCCCCTCCCCTCCAGTGCCGCTGTGGCCCTCCAAAGCCTCTTGGATCCTCTGGCATGCTCAAACCGGCATTCCCAGGGTATGGGCCCTGGGCATTCGCGGCTGGAATGGAGGCACCCGGCCTGTGCCTACCTGCAGACTTCACGCTGTGCATCGGATGGAGTCTCTCTGACTGGCCAGCATGACCATTGAACCCACAGACTCTGCCAGCAGTTCCCTTGTGAGGTGCCATGGTTGGTGGCTCAGAAACTGCCATGGGGAATCGTGCCCTGGGCATTTGACCAGCATGGCTGCTCCTGGCCTGCGCCATTGCTTGCTCATTGGCAGCGCTGGGGCCCAGCATCGAATGTGGGTTGGGCTGCCGCATGGGTGCCGCTCTTGGCAGCATCCTCAGGACCTGGTGTGCATCGGCTGGCACAAAGCCAGGGGGCAAGCCCCGCGGGCCTTGGTCGAGCGACCGCCGCTTCGCAACGTCCACATTCACAACCTTCATGATTCCGTTCGTGTCGTCCCCCACATGAAGGCTGCCTAAATGCGCCGCCAGCATCGCTGTCTGCTCGACTACCCACTCTGGCTTCATGATAAAACCCCCGCTGTCAATGGTGATCTGCTCAAAGCCCTGCTGTTTCATTTCCTGCAGACGCGCAAACAGGTGATTGTACACTCCCACCATTATCTCCCTGTTCAAACTTTCCAGATTCAACCGGTATCCCTGCGAGTCCATCCGCTGCACCAGCTGAGCCTGCCCCTCGTCGGGCACAGTCCCCATCCAGATGCGTCCGTCCCTCACACTGGCGCACAGGCCATTGTCCTCAGCTCGTTCACAAATCAATCTCTGCACCTCAGGCGTGTACCCCGCTGCCCAGAACGCCTTCCCATTGGACTTGCTGTTCATCTTCCTCACCCAGTTGAAGCAGCTGAACAGGTGGTCTTCATGCCGCAAGAAACCGTGGTGGTACACGTTGGGAATTGCACTGGCCTGCATGTCTGCCGACCTCCGCCTGGTACCCATCTGCAGCCTGCTGCTCTGGTCCACCATGTTGTGCACCTCATGCGGATGGCCTCTCTGCCTCTGCAGCTCCCACTCGTCGTCGTCACTGTTGGAGTCGTCGCCGGCAGCCCGCCTCCACACCCGCATCTTCATCTGCCGCTTTGTGGTGGAAGGCTTCTCGACCGCCAGGCTGAGCGCCCTTGCGATGTCTCGAACCTGCTGTCGCACCCAGCCCACCGGCACGACATACGCCGTTGGATCTATGACAGCCTCAGGGTCTTTGGACTGTCTGAAAGCAGAGAGCTCATCAAACAGGTCATACAACACACCCCTGAGGATGTCGGCATTCAGCCTGGTGTCCTCGCTGCTGCCCCTCCAACGAGGGCTGGAGTCTGACTTGTCAGCTACCCCGCCGGGCTGGGCTGCCATGTCCCCTGTGCTCCCTGCGAACTTTGCCACTGGTGCAGGGCGATCTGCGTGCACCTCACCATTGCCTATTGGTTTTGCATCATCTGAAGCTGCGCAACAGAGAGACAACTTCGCCAAAACAGCGCTGCCCTGGGGCTCAAGCTCATCCTGCACATGGTCTAGAGCTGTCCAGGCCGACGGCCTTCCCAAACTATGTTCCTTGTGCTCAGTTATGGCTCCATTGCAGTGCTCAGGAACTGCTTTTCGATGCCCCGTCTTAATTTTGACCACAATTCTGTTGTCTGTTTTCGCCACCAGCTGCAGAGATGCATACTCTTCAGCTTGACCAGTACACTGCTCATCAGAGGCGATGGGCCCCGCGTGTTCTTCTTTATGCCCCACAGACTCGCCACAAGAATGATGAACCTCATCGCTCTCTTCTTCATCCACATCATGCTCTTTGCGAGCTCCAAATTCTGCAGGCCATGAATTGTTATCTTCATCTTGCCCCAATATTTGAGGTTCTTCTTGTTGCCCAAATGCTTGCAACCCATTCGGCGATCGCTCAACTCCTGCCAATTCAGCAGTTAGACATGCCTGAACAGCATGACGATCCATACTGGGCGGAACTTCGATTCTCAGATTTCCATCCTCGAGCCAAAGGAGCTGGAGATCCAAGCCCTCAATCACACTAGCAATCCATGCCTTCACCTCTGGCTCGAACTTGCTGGTGTGGAAAATGTGTAACCTCAAGCTGCACTTCAGAAATTCTCTGAGGCGCTGTTTCACGACACAGTACATTGGATCGATGGGCGTCTTCGGCCTGCGAACTTTCAGGGTGCTGTTCACAGCGTGCTCCACCATGTCCTCCTTCAGGTTGCCATCCTTGCTGATGATCAGCTTTCTCTTGGGCCCCTTCCCCATGTACAGGCCCAGCTCCTGAACCACAGATGTCAGGAGCTTCCGCACAGGAACAGAGCACCAACTATTGCTGAAAGCAACAAACTTCCTGTCCGATGATTTGAACTTGTTCAAATGCACAAAAAGTGCCTTCCTATGTCCCGAAAGGAGACGCACGTCCCCATTATCACTGCCCTGCGAACTCCCTGGTGCAGAAGCTGACAGTCTCTTGCCAAACACAACAAGTGACAGTCTTGACCATTGCCTGCTCTTCTCCTCAGCTGGTGCATTCCTGAAGTTCTGAGCTTCCTCGGCTATTTGCTGCAGCAGTTTGCACACAAACCACCAGTCCTGCGTCGCCAGCGTCCTCGCGCAATTGTCCTGTGCTTCAAATGGGTCTTCCACGAAGAAGTGATACTTCTTAATGGCACGGCCGTCCCACCTAACAGATGTAAATCCGCCCTCCCACGGTGAGGCCGTCGGTCGCAAGCCGCTGCCCAGCCTCCCCTCTGCTGTGTAGTGCATCAGCTGGGAGTGCGCCGCCAACAGGGAAAAGCTGGCCAGAAACTCCAGCAGCAGCTCGAACAGCGTCTGTTGGTTCCTCTCCCTGTCGTTTCTGGCCCCCCACGCCCTGGCCATCTCCTTGAAGCGCTCAATCTCCGAGAGCAGCGATGGGCCCCCGGTGCTCGCGCCGTGCTGGCTGATTGTCGCTCGCAGGTCAGGAAACAGGTCCCTGAAAGGCGGCAGCAGGGGCGGTGTGCGCGTCTGCACAAAGCTGATGACCAGCAGGGTGAGGCAGTATGAGTTGAACGTCCCCATGGAGGGGTCGTTCACCTCGTTGGCCTTGGCCCACTTCTTCACCATCACGACCAGGTCCCTCACCCGCCTGTCCACCCCGAGCACCTCCCCCAGGATCAGGCTCTTGAACACGCCGATGCTGTTCCCGATCGACAGGTCGCAATGGATGCCCGTCTCCGCCTCCACGAACTTGCTGACGGGCACCTTGGCCGTCCTAATCAGCTGCGTGCTCTTGCCGGGCCGGAAGTGCCGCCCCGCCTGCAGCGTTTGGTGCACCTCTCCCAGCAGGTCACCCCTGAACCGCCTGTCCGCGTCCGTCAAATGCCCGGACCGGCTCACCCTGGCGTCCTGCAGGGACCCCTCCACTGATATGTCCAAGTCCCCCCCCCTGCTGCTGATCCCCATCACCGACGATCCAAACGCCTGCAATGACAGGCCCCGCACCCCGCACAGGCACCTGCCGTGCCCCGCCGCCTGGGCATCCAGAATCCATTTCTCCAGCCGGTTTAGCAGCCGCGTCCTCTGCCTCAGCTGGTGGTCCTCAGCCAGCTCCAGAAGCTCCTCGAGGCTGGCGGAGTACGCCGCCAGGCCGTCTCCGGACAGGCATCCCCGAATGCCCGCCGACACCTCCTGGAGCAAATCTTCCACCAAGGGGTCCTTGGCCATCTCCGCCACTCAGGCCGCGCTCAGGCGGCTCGTGGGGGAGTGGGGGCTGGCCCCGGACCGGCTGTCTGCGCCGAAGCGAACACCCGGGGCTGCGCTGCTTCCATGCCAGCCTCAAACCCACCTTCCGACCTGGCCCGCCCAGCACACGACAATTCCCTGGCAGATCGCTCAACGGCTCCTTGATGTGGTGCTTGCATTTTTCTTGTGGAGGCGTCCCGATTACGGTACGTTTTTAAGCCTTTCTCCGCATGGGAAAACTTTACCGTCACGCTTTTTGCTCCCCGTTTTCGTTTCGGAGCGTTGCTTTTGTCTTTTAATTGTTTTCTCCGCAAAAAAGGCCAAGCGTTACGTCACTATGAGGAAGGATTTGAAAACCGCGTCCCGTTAAATGTGGCCTGCGCAGCCTATGTCGGCCTTTGGGCGGCTCAATTGCGCAATGAGCCTTTGGGCTGCGGCGACCCCGTGGGTACGGGAGGCATTCACGACAGCCACGCACGGGGAAGACAAGTCTGTCACTCACGATCCGAACCCATCATTACAAATGAAGCGAGTGGTATTTATAATGCAATGGTGCGACAGTTCATGAGTTGTTGTCTCCAGAATAACCACTCTGGCCACTTTCACGAGCTGGCCGGGTTCGTGTCCATTTCTCATGCCAAGTTTCTATTCCCGCCGCCCAGACCAACTATGATCCATTGCCAACTAGCCCAGCAACTACCCGCGTACACTACCCACTCCCACTCTCCCTCACTCCCATAGAGGTGGCCACTCAAAGATGCCATCCAGTCCGTTAAGTCCGGTTCGTTAATTTTTATCAGCTGTCCGTTAAATTTCGTTAAAGAAAAAGGGAGAAAAATTCAGAAAAAAGGAAAAAAATCCAAAAAAATTGAAAAAAAACCCAAAAAATCACAACAACTGCGGCTAGTTGAAAATCTAGTATGCATAGGTTGAAATAAAATACAAACATACTCTCTAATAGCAAATTCCATAAACTATAAGTATGACTAAAACCCAAAAATCCCCAAAAAATTCCAAAATCCGTTAATTTTTGGTTAATTTTTATCTTTTTTCGTTATTTTCTGTTAATTAATGGAAAATTAACGGAAATTAACCTCTGTCCGCTATTAACGGATCCGGGTGGCCACCTCTACACTCCCACACTTCCTCAGCTCCTATTCCCGCCGCCATCCCCAACTATGATCCAATCCCAAAGCCGTCCCCGTTCATTCACTACAACCAATTCCCCTTAACTGGCTCCCCTATCATACGTACAGCCCCACTCCCCACACCTACCGTATTTCTACACCAATCGATATAGTCCTGCAGTGGCTTGTGGCCTGTGTTCGGGTTGCAGGCAATTGAGATGAGTCATTGTTTCCCAGCCGCGTTGCCCAAGGCGGTGCGGCATCCAAACCCACTCAGTGATAGCGCACTCACAACCATGTGCTCCGCCGGTCACTTTGAGGATTGGACACTGATGGGATCGGCACTCCACGAGCAGGAGATGGCATCGCCGACACACATAAAACGCTCAACAAGGGGCAGCGATCATGGCCCAAGTCAGCCCACCTGGAGCAAAGCGTGGAGCCCCAACGCGGCTGACCTCCAGTGCCGTAAAAGGGCTCACCGTTGAAGGTGCACGAGAGATCGGCAGGGAAGATTTTGGGACAAACGCCAGCTTCGATCAGACAAAAACACGAAACTTGAAGGAAGCAAGGCCCCGCGCAGGAAGATCCGCACGCGAGCCGCGCGGCGAGCTTATGGATAGTACATATGGTGGTACACGCCTAACTGGATGCTTTTGCAAGCTGAGTGGCTTAGAGGTGATTGCTCAATCCATGGCCATGGCGGGGCGGCGGAATGTCATTGTTGGCGCATAAAGGCGAGTAGTGGACAGGGAAACAACCATCTTTCCGGAGAGCCTAGCTGTTTGCTTCTCCACCAATTCAGCTTGCGGCCTCCCATTCTGCATGCAAGCTCAATCACTTTATAGAGACTGGGTTGTGCGGGGGTGGTTGTTGCGCGTTTCTATCGATCGGCAAAGGTCTCTGTCACAAGATCTTTCAAAGGAATTCCGGAAGGCTTGCGGATATGGGCGCCTTGGCCGGCAAGGGTCGATTGCTCGCCCTCTTCATGAAGCCGGGTCCCCTGTTGTGGTCGTGGACGCCGTGTCCTCGTTCTTAAAGGCTACAGCTGACTGCCATAGCCGCCCAGTGTTGCATCGTGCTAGTACGTCCAAGACACGATCTTGCGTTGGATGGGTCGGGCGAAGTCCGATAGTCAAGGTGCTTGTGTTTGCGCGTTGCTATGAAGGCGACTGCGCTGTGCGGGGCTGGTTGGCGGGGCGCCAGGGCTCACCGACATTGGCGCGCGTGGCTTGGGGCGCTAGCACAGGCAGGCAAGGGGGCAGACTGTATCGCTTGATGTTGAGATACGGCAGGCCGGGCTCCCCAGGCCACATTTAACGGGTCGCTCAAAAACTGACAGGTACAGTTGGGGTCCCTATATAGCGCCCCCCCAATAGCGCCCCTAGCCCCCAATAGCGTGCCCTTTTTCAGCTTATCACCTTTTATGTAGTATTTGATGTAGTTTTGTTGCGCAGTGGGACCTCAAACTAGTAAAGGGGTCTGCTTTCTTTTTCTAAGTAGAGTGACCTCCTTTACGGCTCGTCACCATTCCCGTAGTGCTTTGTTTCACTGTGGCAGGCCCAAGCGCCCGCGACTTTGGCGCCGCGACAGTCGCTGGCCCCAAAAGCCGGTATGGACCCAGTAAGTTGGGTGTAGCGTACCCCCCACACTGGCGGTCAAGGTACCCCGTACACTGGCAGCTAGGGTACCCCCTACCGGCGGCCAGAGTACATTCTATACCGGCAGCCAGGGTACCCTTTACACCGGTTGCTTAGGGGATCCCCTTGACACAATAGGGCCCCTGGCCCCCAATAGCGCCCCCCACGGCCATGTCACGGGGGGGGGGCGCTATATAGGGACTCCTACTGTACTGTCTTGGGACATCGAAATTCTTGACCATCACCTTCGCCAAGTGCGTCCAGCGCGGGCAAGCCCAGACCGCCCAGACTGCGGCTGCGCCTGTTACAGGGTCCCGTGCCCCCGCCTCGACCACCGCGGGTCGCCGCCTTCCGGTGCATGCAGAGCGCAAAGCTGCGGTGCCTCTGGGGCGCCGTCAGTGGCCTGAGGCTGGGGTCGCCCCCGCCGACGACCACGCCCCTTGCCCGCTTCTGCTCATCGTCTATCGAAGTTCCTGCTTGTGAGTCGATCTGTCGGAATGGAGCTGCGCGGCGCGTGCCGCGACGATGCCTTTCGTCAGGGCGCTTCATTTATCCATCTGTTGCGTCGGGCACACGCGAATGGCGGGGATGACCATCTGTACCGTGGAGAAAAACCGTCGCAGAAATTCGTGCTCGGTGGCCTGCTTGTTGTGGGCCGTTTGTCCTTTATACGAAAGATATTGATCAGCAAAAGGGCTTTTGGTGCATTTAATGCATCCCTGATCTGGTTTGCATGGTCAATCAATGCCTGTCATTCACGAAGTGGATCTCATGTGTTGGCAGATTGTGGCAAGGCAAGCGGCAAGACGATGAGAATTTTTGTCATCGTTATGTTTCAGGGCTCAACGAGCGCAAAGATCAAGGATTTGGAGGTTTGCTGTCGGTTTTGCAAGAGCGGTTGAGCACCTATGGAGCACAGAGTAGGCGACATGGATTTGCATTCCACCGGGAGCAACACACATGCAAGTAAACTCAGCGCATCATTGACTCATCGACAATGTATCCATGATGCATGGGCAAGTCCTGGCCCTGAGCTTCTTCCAGAAAGGGTGGTCATGGCAATGGGTCAGATAATGTGAACACCACATTGTAGTAAGCAGCCCATTGCAGAACACACTGCTCTGATGATGCTTAGATATGCTTCAGCATCCAAACATGCTCGAAAGAGTCGCTGGGCAGGTGGCCAAATTTGTTCAAGGCCACAGAGAATGAAAAAATGGTTGTGTCCTTGCAGGCAAAACGGACAATGGGCAGTTTTGTCCTGGCATGTGTCTCTGCTGAACTTAACGATGTTAAATGCTAGGAGTGTACAAGCAGCTCACCTTATTTATTAAAGTAACATCACAACCCACAGAAGGCCACAAAGAGTTCAGTAGCTGTGCCCAATACCATGAATTGCATACTTGTCATGCACTTTCACCAAGCTGGTGATAGCTGTGTGCACAGGTACAGGCTTCAATTCCCGTATCAACTTGACAGTGGCCCAGTGAGCATAGCGGCCATGAATTTTTACATTATGTACAAATGTATTGAATGTGGATCAGAGGGGGCCTCTTGTGGGGCCCATTGGCCTACCACAAGAGGTTAAGAAGATACATTCCCCCATTGGTGCAATGCTTGCCACAAACAGGATTGCAGGTCCACAGCATCTGACAATCTACAGTCTAGGTGCAACAGTGAAGACAGCTTAGCCACTATTCCCTGCTGTGACAGGTTTGCACCCAGGTGCTAATCAGCAGCTCACTGTCAACAGTCAACCACTGCAGGCCAGAGTTGTTGCTGTGTCCTTTGCTCCCCAAGGCCTAATGCTGTTGAGATGTAGAAAAGGCCAGGGCAAAGTCCTAGATACGAGATAGACTGCTCATTCCTGGGTATGACATTCATCAGGGCTACAGCTTTTCTTTTCTTCCATTTGCTTGGACTCAGTGGCCATCTTTCAGACTGTTCAATGGGATGCAGAAAACACCTTGATTTGGGTACACTCTTTGTTTGAATAGTCTGCACACAACAGTGCCTGACATGTGCAGGGGCAGCACTATGCCATGTATTCACAAATGTGTCAATCAAGGATTCTGTGATGGTTGCGGCAACAGGTCAGACCTTAGTGAACAATTGCACACATACACAGAGTGCATAAACATCTGAGCCTAACACTACGTGCAGGATGTATGGACATGTCTGGCTGTGAAATGGCAAGAGCAATCAGAGCGGAATGCGATAAATCTAAACATCTACTGGGGATGTCTGGACAGTCAACTGACAGCGCTGCCATCTGCTTCCAGAGCCGGTGTGCTGGGACCTCCTGTTCAGTGAAGCCAAAAGCGAGGATGATGCACAGCAGGCACTGAAGGCATTGGAAATCGACAGGGGATGTCGGCGATCTTCTGAACAGCACCAGCCATATCCTGTGCACGTTGGTGCGGCAATAATGAAGGTTAGAAAAGCCTCTGTGACACACAACCAGGCCAAAGTGCAGGCCTGTACTTGTTCTTTGACTTTCCTTTGTCAAGAATTGACAAAGAGCTTTCCCTTACACAGTCGATCACAGGCGCATATTGCAGCTTGGAATGTTTTTCCCTCATGAATTCTCTGTGGTCCCATCTTGATAGCAAAACCGAGAGGCAGTGCATCACACACAGAGGAAGTTGGACATAGCGACCCACAAGGAATTGTGGAGTTGTTACAGACAAAGTCCAACAACAGTAAGACTGGAACAACGTCCACACGCTGAGCGACAGTCACATCACCCATCATTGCCTGCCTTGTTGACTGGAAGTTGCTGCTTATTGTCGTAAGCTTGACTGCTTCCCTTTGCGCCATAGACAGGCAGCATTTCTCTTTGGTTTGTTTGTTGGTGTGTATGCCTGCAATGAGTTGTTTCGCGTACAAGGTGGATGCATGTCATGTTGTCCCACTACAGCAATTTGCCACACAGAGTTGGGTCTGCAAGCCAACGATTCCTGCTGAGGAAGGGCGGATGTGATGCAATAGGCATCTGGCTCCTTGCCATGATTTTCGGGTTTCTGGATATCCTTTGCAAGATGGTACAAAAGTACACAGGAGGGGCATTCCTGTGGCAAAGGGGATACCTTTGTTGGCTTTGTGGACACATTCTGAACCCTGTGATGTGTGTTTGTTGTTGAAGGCCCTGGTGCATGTGGACGCAATTGATCTTGGGATGACGACTGTGGGTCGTTTGTACGAGCTTGGGATCCCGCCGAGCAGTGAAGTATTTGCTCCCCTAATGCAGCGCTGCTTTGGGGAGTCCCCAGATTTGGCAAGAGCAGGTGAACTAATCCGATGGATGGAGGGCTATGACGTTGCACCATCAGGGGCGCTTCTGGAATCCATTGAAAGCCGTGCTGATGATCTAATGGTGCAACAAAAGATCAGTATATGGAAAGCCAAACAGGGAGGTTTTTAGACTGTGATTGTGGATTTGTCGAAATGATAGCCGTGTTTTTAAATATGCTGAGGACAATTGAGGCAGCGAGGATTCTTCTGTCAAGGCTGTTTGTCTGAGCAGACTTTGTCCAGACAATTGAGGCAGCGAGGATTCTTCTGTCAAGGCTGTTTGTCTGAGCAGACTTTGTCCAGAGAGCCCTACCAAAACCAGGCCAGCAGAAAGATGTAGTGCTTCTGCATGACAAACAACTGTGCTACCTTGAAGTTTTGGCTTGGTGGTGTGAATATTACGGGTTTGCTCCCATGTGTACCAAAAGCCTGCACACATTGGCCCTGATGGTGGCGAGCTTGTCCTTTTTACATGTCAATGATTTTGACATTTCTGGAGAGGAATTGCGGTTGAATGAATGGAATTAACTGTTCAGCGGAGCCCAGTACATACCACTTCCTTGACCATGCTGCCTAGAATTCCCATTGGGGATTCCCAGTCCTTATAATGCATTGGTACACCTCGCTGTTTGCGCGTGTATTGGACTTGGTGGTCGTTAATTAAAAAAAGTGTAAAAGAAAATGAGAAAATGCCCTCAGATGAGACTCGTTCAGGTGGCCCTCTGAAATCGACCAGTTGGAGTGGGATGGCAAGAAGTGCAGTCTTCTCGAAGCACCCAGTGGCACCACCGTCGGTGAGGTCAGCCCCATTGAGGCTATGCTGAGGGAAGCTGGTGCGGATAGCTTCACATTGACTGATGACTCCAGCGTGGCAAACGAGTGGTTGGGAGTCGCTCTCCCAGTTGGCGACCTGTCGTGATGAGGAAACGGGTTCCTCTTGACTGCGCTCTGCTCAATTTGGAAGTAAACGAAGCCGTGTTGCCTCATTGAATGTCCAAATACTGTTGCAATCTTGTGGTGGCTGCAACGGGCACGACACTAAATTGATCCTCCCTCCCCAACCTTTGCTTCACACCCCCCACATTCACACGTGCCCATACAGGCCCTCTGAGTGCATGTTTCCATTCTAGTCGCTTTGTGTGGACATGTCCCCCCTTGGGAGACTTTGCTTTTTCACGGTCGTGCACAGAGCCTAGCTCACACTTGGTTTGGAGGGGTGGGCCTTTGCGCGACCAGTTTCTCATTCTTTCCAACAAGCTCCCATCCCCCACCGCTCTAAAAGTCAATCCAAAACCAGCAATCAACAAATCAGCCATCACCCATAAACCGGAGGGAGATCAGGAACTCCCCACAGCAGGGCCCTTCCCAACACAGGTGTGCACGGAAAAATCTGTGGCAGCGCCCCCTCCCAAAAGAAAGAGCAAAAAAGCATCCAAGCAAAGCAACGAAGAAACCGAAGCCACGGAGAAATCAGTGACTGGAGGCAAAGCTGTGGAACGTTGTTTTGGCTTTAACTGATCGAGCATTATCACCAGCCTGACGCATCGAGGTGACGAGGCGTTGGGAACTGCATCAAGGACACCAATGAACGGACCAGATACACGTTGGCTGCATAAGAGACAGAACCCCTGTCGTCCCTTTGCTCCGCTGTAAGCCGTTGCGGTGTGCTCGAGCCTGCGGTCCCCAGTCGGGCCGTCCCTTCCCGACCCTGCCTGCCTCTGCCTTCGTCAACGTCAATTCGAATTTTGCCTTTAATCCGCCCATTTTCAGATGTCCACGCTGCCATTTCTTCCCCAAGCTTTACTTCGGTCCTGCAGGAAAACCGTCGGGCGGCTGCACCAGGCGCGCGTCCGGCAGCTGTGGCAGGGCCCGGCGGCGGCACCCCCCTTCCCGCCCGCAACACTCCACGGTGAGCGGGCCGCAACCCCCGGACGGCCTCCCGCGCGCCCGACAGCACCGTTGGGTGATTGGGGGGTGGCGCAATTGGCGGGGTGGCATCATTTGGCGGTGGGTCTAATTTTGGATGGGCGTTTCGGGTGCAGCCATGGATCGGGAAAGGCTGGAGAAGATGGCCAGCGCCGTGCGCATGGGCGGAAAGGGGACGATGAGGAGGTGCGGGGCGCGCCCGGCGGCGGCGGCCGTGCGCCGATTTGCAGGCCCGATTGAATCGTCGCGCTGAGGGGCCGTTGTCCCGTTGTGCCCCCCTTTTAGAAAATACAAGAAGCCGCACAAGACGACGTCCACGGACGACAAGAGGCTGCAGAACACGCTGAAGCGCCTGGGGGTGAACACCATACCCGGCATCGAGGAGGTGAACCTCTTCTTCGAGAACAACGTCGTCCATTTCACCAACCCCAAGGGTGCGTGACGGGGCTCGGGGCGCCGCGGGAACCCCGCGCTGATCGCATTGCGGCCTGCGCGCCGCCCTGGACATCCAAGGGCTGCATTTACCTGATAATGGGAGGTCTAGTGCGGGAGAAACCCCTGACATTGCTTGATTCCTGCCACTAAACCCAACCATGGCTGCCCAAGGGAAGACTGGCAGTATCCTGTTATTCAGTCCAATCTCTGTGGCTGCTGCTAGCTGACGTACGCCACTTTCGTGCTTCTTTGGGGCTCACGTGCCGGCCTCGTGCCGTTGTCTGTTCCGCAGTTCAAGCCTCCATTGCGGCCAACACGTATGTCGTCAGCGGCCCGTCTCAGAACAAGAGTGAGTTGCACGGTGTCGCGAAGCTTTTCTGCGCCAGTTCTGGGGCATGAGCTGGGTGGCTTTTGGTTTGGAAGCTTGAGCAGGATTCGGAGTGACGTTTTTGCCGCATTTTGTGCAGAGCTGGCGGATTTGTTGCCTGGGATCATCAACCAGATGGGGCCTGACAGCTTGGCCAACCTGAAACGGATGGCTGCACAGATGCAGGTGCGTCTCACAGGAGCGCCTCTTTTGGCTAGAGCAGAAGTTTTGGCTGAGCACGTCTTGTGGCCGGGCAATCGATGCTCCATGTGGAAGGGGGCATGCCTGCCAAGGCTCAAGCTGTGCATTGGGAGCCAGACAATGGGTCACAGGACTATTTGGCGCCTGGCCCTCTCTTGGAGGGTCATTAATTGCCGTCTTGGGATACTTGTTGGTTTACTGAGATACCACCTTGTGTACCTGTTAACAGATGCAGGCAGCACACAATGTGGAGGAGGATGATGATGGTGGGTGCTTGTTTGCTGCTCATTGTATACAAACAGCCGTGGTCAGTTCCCATTTTTCTTGTTGTGCCTTCTATGTTGGGTGCAGGTAATGTCCTGCTGATATTTTGGTGCGTACTCTTTCGGCTACTCAGCTTTGTACGCTGCCTGCCCCATTATCCTTGCGTTCCATAATGCTTGGTCCTGAATGGGCAGATCCCGTTGAAAATGGATCGCAAGTGCACAAGTTGCAGTCACCAGGGCAACGCCCGCAGCATCCATGGTATTTTGTGCCGACAAGCCACTGTCAAGCGTTTGCACCATTCTGAGTGTAGCTGTGCTGCAATTAAAGTGGTTGGCCTTATGGGGTGTGTACCATGTGTTTTCCTCATATTTGAGAGTGGCAGTTGTGTGGGGGTATCTTGTGTTGGCTGTCAAGAGAGGATGTGCCAAGGCCCTTGCCAGAGCCTGAACTTTTCTGCATCAATGTTGTGGCAAGAGCACCCCTCACACACCTCACACGGTGCTGTGCTCTGGGCAGATGTGCCGGACTTGGTGGAAAATTTCGAGGATGCGTCGAAATGAAGATGTCCCAACCATGGCGCATGCCAATGAAGCCCAGCTGACCCTTTGTCGCCCCGGCCAGCCTGGTCAATCGGACATGCCATGCTGTTTTGCCATCCTGCAGGAGCACTGGTTAGTGTGGGGAGGGTGCACAATCTGAGGATTCAAGGACAGCGGAAATTGTACCTGTGGTAGTCCATCGTGTCGGCTCAAGCAACGGGGTTTGTATTTGCTGATATGGCTGCCATCTCTCCAGCAGGCTTGCAAGTTAGGCACTGGGCTTGGCATCTGGCCCTCTTGCTACATGTTGGAGGCCGCCCTGCATGAGGGTTGGGCGTGTGGAGATCGCGATGGCGTGGCACTGGTGTGGCGCCATGGAGGTCACGAACACACTTGGACTTGGTCTTTTGCATTTGCGCTTTGGAGATTTCGCATGCGGCAGGGAGGCGTTGGTTGGGGGCGGTTTCTGAGTGTTTTGCTGATTCCGTGCCCTGTGGATTGGGCCACTTGGGGATCGCGTGGTTGAGGGCTCTCAGGTTCTGTGCTTGTGCCTGAGCGAGGGTGATAACAGTTCATTTGAAGCAAGGGGCACCGGAAATATACCAACGGTCTCGCCACTTTTCCACAACGTGCAGAGACGATACTGAAGTGCGACACAGTTTGCTGAAGTGTGACGAAAAATCCTTTGGCGCCACAGCTTGGGCTTCTGGTGAACGGAACTGTTTTGTGCACTCTCAGCAAGAGTGCTGCAGTCGCGAAAGCGGCTCCCGAATTGCAAGTGCAGGCTGCCGCAAGTGCAAAGGAAAGCATGCATCATGACTTTCCCAGGCAGAAGCAGCTGAGGTGACCCCAAAACGCGTTTCCAGTGGTCATTCGTGTTTCTGTCCGCTGTTCTACTCTTTGGCAACGTGCCACTGGACCTACGTTTTATCGGCCCGGTTGGGCTGCAGGACTCTTCGTCTCAGCGCTGGTTGTGCGCTTGAGGGAAAGTAGACGTCGCTGAATCGAAGCCGCCTTGAATTCATCGAGACCACTGTCCGCATTAGACGCCCCACTGCCGGCTGAACCGCTCTCAGCTGCCATACTCCCGCGAACGGCGATGTCGACTTTTGAGTGAGCAAATGCCAAATACTGTATACCGATACTTTTTCGCGGAAAAAATATTTCGCGTATTTCACGGGAAAAAGTATTTCGCGTATTTCACGGGAAAAAAAGTTCGCGGAGAAATGAAGTTAACTATCCTGTTAATGGGTTTCCGCCAAGGGCGACGATGGGTGGGCTGCACCGCGATTCAAACGGTGCAGTTTGAACCTGGGGTTTACTCAACCCCGGCCCTTGGGATTTCTGGCCACCCCTAGTACCGTGGGTCAGTCAAAGTGCGGTATTCCGAGGTGCCGCCCGCGAGGGCGCCCTCGAGTTTGGCGGGCTTTGGCGGGGCGGCGGAGGGCGGCTATTTAGGCAGCCCCTCGGTCCCCCTCCTTATCTTGTTTCGCTTCGCGCCACTGCGTTGGCACAACCCGCAGGCACCGAGTGCCTTGTCCCTCCGGCTACGGCCGAGTCCTTTCTATGAACCGTTCTCCGGCCGAGCAGTGGCTGCACGACCAAGCGGTTCGGTTCAACGACAGTCCGCCTACGGCTTCCCTTGACGAAGTCTGGCTGTCCGACCCCCGGCTCCTACCGCAAGCGGTGACCAACCCGGTGGTCCGACCTCCGGGAGTCCGCTTCCCCGAGTGGTTCGACGTCCGCCGCACCTCAGAAGGCGGGCAGCTCGCGCAGGCCCTGGGCGCCAACTCTGGTTACTTCCAGGCGTACCAGAACTGGGCCCCCTACGTCGCGTGGCAGTTCGACCTCACTGCCGCGCTGATCGACTTCGTGGCGCACCCAGCCTTCCCGCTGCAATTCCGGGAGGCACTCCTGCCGTACGTCCACGCCCAAGTGACCATCACGTCGCGCCTTCAGAGCCTGATCCGTCTTCAACAGGTCCACGGCGAGCAGAAGGGAACCTCTCTCGACGGGCTGTGGAAAGCGCTCCAGACCAACGTGCGCTTGGGCGCGGTGCATCGCCGGTTCTGGGACCCCTTGATCGACGAGCCCCTCGAGCACATCCGCAAGGAGGTCCTCAATCAACAGCTCAAGTTGGCGACGAAGTCCGCGGCGGCTCAACATCAAGCGCAGCTCAATCGCCAACCTTCCGCAGCCTCGCCCCCCGGCGGTCCTTCCTCCGGCGCCAAGCATCAGCGCCCCAAGCCCAAGACGTCCGGCGCCCCATCGGCGCCTCCCAAGCCGACCGCCTAGAGGCCCTGCCCTACGCCCGCCTCCAGGGCCGTCTTGCAGCCTGGCGATGCATCGGCGCCCCCTCCCGGGTGCTTCAATGGATCCATACGGGGGCGCCGCTCCAATGGGGCCCGGGGGGCCCTCCGCCCCCTTTCGATCAAGGCGAGTACCCGCTCAGGACCCCGACGGAATGGCAAGCTTGGCGGGAGCTGCGCGACGAGTACCTTCGGACGGGGGCGATCATCCGGACGGAGCCTTCTTCCAACGCCCGGATTTCACGCGCCTTTTTGGTGGCCAAGCCGGCGGAGAACGGGCAGACCAAATACCGTTTGGTCATCGAACTTCGGCGGATCAATCGCCACCTCAAGAAGGTCGGTCTCCGTTATGAGCGCTTGAAGGATTTCGGTTTTCTTTTGAAAAAGAATGACTTTCTGGTGGGCTTTGACGTCAAGAATGCCTACCATCATGTTCGGATGCGCGCCGATCAGGAGCATTTCTTGCTCTTTCGGATGGGTGGTGAAGTTTTCGCCTGTCGGGCGCTGCCGTTTGGCCTCTCCTTGGCCCCCTTTTATTTCACTCATGTCATGCTCGTTGTGGTCCGTTTTTTAAGGACCCCTGCGGCATGTGCACGGGCTGGAACTCGTTTTCGATTTGGCTGCTTAGCGGGTAATGACTCCATTCTCCAGTACTACCTAAAGTACTCGCGGGAGGTGCCCGCGTTGATTTTGGCATATTTGGATGATTTTATTGCGGCCATGTCTGATCCGGTTCCTTTGCGGGAATGGTCCCATTTAGTGCGGCGAGTTTTTCAGGCTCTTGGCATTGAGTTCAAGCATTCCAAATGTCAGTGGGATCCGGTGCAACGGAAGACCCATTTGGGTGTGATCATTGACACTACCCGGTGCCAATTTCTGGTGCCTCCGAACAAGGCCGCTGCGATTGCTTCCCGGGCTCGCGCCCTCCTTCACTCGGGCGGGGTAGTGGCGCGACATTTGGCTCAATTCTGTGGGTCTGCCATTTCGTTGTATTTGGCCTTTCCACTGGCCCGCTTTTTCTTGATGAGTCTGTATGAGTTATTACGAGGGAAACGATCGTGGCGGGATTGCCTTCGTTTGACCCCCCAAGCCCGCCTGGACCTTTTGGCATGGACAAACATTTCGCGCCTTGCCGGCCGGGCTCTTCACCCGGGTTCGCTGCCCTTTCTGGGCACACTTGCCACGGATGCAAGTCTTACGGGTTGGGGGGCGACGTTTCAGTCTTTGGGCCAGGCGGGGCCCATGCTTGCAAGGGGATTTTTTGATCGGGAGCTTATTCATATTAATGTTCGTGAAATGCAGGCCGTACACTTGGCCCTGCTCAGTTTCTTTCCTCACCGGTATTCCGGGACGACTTCCCGGCGGGTTCTTTTGTTGGTGGACAACCAGGTGGTTCTGCACTGTCTCCTTTCCATGACTACCAGGGCCACCAGTCTCTTGAGGCCCTTACGTCAGTTGAAGGCGGTGTGTACTACGCGCCGGATTCTCCTGGAGTCGGAGTACATTCCCTCGGCAGAGAATGTACTGCCGGACCGGCTTTCCCGTATACGGACCTCGGAGGACTACCGCCTGAATCCGCGCATATTCCAGGAGGTCGCCCGCAGCTTCGGGGCCTGTTCTGTGGACCGATTCGCGTCCGCCCGGAATGCCCTCTGCGCCCAGTTCAACAGTCAGTACTGGGACGTCGGTACGGCAGGAGTGGATGCTTTCCAGCAGGACTGGAGCGGCACCAGGTCCTGGTGCAATCCCCCGTGGAGCCTCCTCGCGAGGCTCGTGTCCTTCCTCGCCTTACGGCCGGAGCTGGAGGCGGTGGTGCTGGCGCCGGACTGGCCGAGCGCGGTGTGGTTTCGCCCGCTCCGAGCGATCACCCGGGCGGAGATGTTCATTCCCCGCCAGGCCGACCTGTTTCTCCCCGGCGACCCGAGCCTTCCGGCGTCCCTTCCCCCCCCGCGGTGGAATCTCCGGGCGTTCCATGTGTGCCCGCGCAAGAGGACGCCGCGCCATCTGAGACCGAATCGGAGGAAGCTGTGATTCCCGTCGGAAGCCCCGCCGGCCGACCTGCCGGCGGACGACGTTCCTTTGGAGCCGTTGGCGGAGGATGACCCGCTGTACGGCACGGATTTGGATGGCCTGCTCCGCGACGATCGCTGCTGGATGGAGCGCCAATTTTTACAGTCCTACACGGAGGCCACTCGGCGGACGCTCCAGGCCAAGTTCTCGCGCTTCCAGCGGTTCTGCGAGGAGCACGGCCTCGCCGCCCTCCCCGCCCGGCGGGCCTCGATCTACCGCTACATCCGTTTCCTTCGGGAGGAGGGCAAGGTGGGCGTGCGGTCGTTGCCCCAGTACCTGGCCGCGATTTCGATGATGCATCACGTCGCGGGCCATTTGGGTTTCTCGGCCTTCGACCCGGTCACCCGCATCCTCACCCGCGCTTGGCGACGGGCGGCGCCGGCCCCGGTGCAGCATCGGAGGCCGGTCCCCATTTCCTTGATGCTGCGCATCCTGGAGGTTGGCCTCACCACCGAGGACGGGCCCACCCTTCGGGCGGCGTGCGCAGCCCACCTCGACTACATCTTTTTCAATCGGGCCCAGTCGGGCCATTACATTCTGGTCGACGACGTGCGCCTCGACGCGGCGGTGGTGATCTTCCGCGAGCGCAAGACCAAGCTGCGCCCGGGGGAGGAGCCCCGGTCGCGCTATCGCTCCTGGCCTTCTCGCGGAGCACCCGAAGTCGTCGACTTACTGCGTCGGTGGACGCAGTTCCGCGATCACGCCTGGGCGCAGACGGATCAACAGCCGCGCCATTTCTACCGCCTTCCCGGCGACGCCACCCCTACGTCCAAGACCGTCGCCTCTTGGTTCTCGTCGCTCCTCGCGCTCTTTCCGGACATCGCCCAAGAGCCGTTCACGCATCATGGCCTGCGCGGTGGGGGCGCGTCCAGTTGCTTCGCCTTGGAGGTCGCGGAGCGGCGTATTCGGGATTGGGGTGGGTGGCAGTCAGACGCCCTGTGGTCGTACATTGATATTTTTCGTTTACCCACTGAGTGGGATTTTCGGTTGTTTGGCTGGATGACCCAATAAGCCAGCGACACCGGTTAGGGGGCGCATCTTACGTCGAGGAGGAGGCCTCGGTTGTCCGTGGGCAAGTTTAAAGGACGGGAACCTCGGGAATGTGAAAGTTAACGGTGTCTGTAATTATTGTCATGGGGGTACATGACGGGGTGGGCTCAGGAGACCGGTAAGGCAGAAATGAAGTTAACTATCCTGTTAATGGGTTTCTGCCAAGGGCGACGATGGGTGGGCTGCACCGGCGATTCAAACGGTGCAGTTTGATCCTGGGGTTTACTCAACCCCGGCCCTTGGGATTTCTGGCCACCCCTAGTACCGTGGGTCAGTCAAAGTACGGTATTCCGAGGTGCCGCCCGCGAGGGCGCCCTCGAGTTTGGTGGGCTTTGGCGGGGCGGCGGAGGGCGGCTATTTAGGCAGCCCCTCGGTCCCCCTCCTTATCTTGTTTCGCACCCAGCCCTCCCGCCCTGGATAGTGGAGTTCGGGTTAGTTGTGGGATGGAGAGGGAGTTGAGGGAGTGAAGTTCGGGAGAGGGAGTTGACTCATGGGGAGTCACTCACTGAAGTGGCGTTGAAGTATTAGCGAAGCGAATGGGCAAGTTTAAAGGACGGGAACCTCGGGAATGTGAAAGTTAACGGTGTTTGTAATTATTGTCATGGGGATACATGACGGGGTGGGCTCAGGAGACCGGTAAGGCAGAAATATTTTCGCGCACTCGTCGGTGCGCGAAAATTTTTCTCCCGCGAACTTTTTTCCCCGCCAAAATTTCTGCCGCACAAACATTTTCGCTGCACGACCTGTGCAGGTGGGGTACCAGCGGGTGCCCGCCTTGTCTGTAGCCCGCTCCAAGGCCCAACAAACTAAGGGTCCTTTGGCGTCCTGGTCGACCAGCAGGGTCTGCCCAAGTGGCCACCCGCGAGGCCTTGGAGGGGCGCCCGGATTGGCGCCTCACGGCCCCCCATTCGCGCCACCCGCAGTGGCCTAGGATGGGCCCCGCCGGTGGCCCGGGTGGGCGCCAGCAAGGAGCGAGATGCGCCGCAAGATAGGCGCCTTGCGGGCGCACAATCACGCCGCCCGCGCTGCCTTGAAATCGCCCCGGCCGGTGGCGCGAATGGCCGCCCAATAGGCACGACAGGCGCGCAGTCATTCGCACCGAGAAGCTGCCCATTCACGCCCTCCGCGGTGGCCTGGAACGGCCTCCGCAGGCGACGCGAATGGGCGCCCACGAAGCGCAAGAGGCGCAGCAGGATTGGCGCCTCGCAGGCGCCCATTCCTGTCACCCGTAGTCATCTGAAATGGCACCCGCCGATGGGGGTAATGGGTGCCCACGAGAGGCGACATGCACCGCAGCATTCGCGCCTCCCGGCCGCCCATTCCCCCCGCCCGCCGTAGCTTGGAACGGCCTCCGCGGGTGGTGGGAATCGATGCCCACTAGTAGCCCGCGCGCCCAGCGCCCGACTCACCCCTGGGGGGGCGCCGAAAAGTTGTCGCGGACGAAAAAGGTTCGCGGGACCAAAGAGTTCGCGGAGAAATATTTTCGCGGACTGGCTCGACCGCGAAATGCGCGAAAATTTTTCTCCCGCGAACTTTTTTCGGTATACAGTAGGCCTTCACCCCGCTGGCAAACAGTGCACGGTGTACGTCTGGCCGATATCCCTGTGGGCAGAAACTTGGCAACAAAGTTGCATAGATGTGGTGAAGTCCTTGGCATCTCTTCAATGTCATGTACGCACGAATGTTCAATGCAATGACGCATGTGGAGCGAGGATGAATAGTAAACGCCAACGACCGGAGTTGGCCTGGCGTCATTCAAAACTCCGCCAGATCAAGACCAGCACGGAAATGCTCACGGCCAGCCAATCGGAACATCACTCTTGCCACAATGACACAAGCCGCTCGCAAATCCCAAGAATACGAGAGTTGCCTAACAATGCAGCCCATCCGCAATATTCTCCACACGGACCTCATGTTCGCACCATCTCTGGCTTTGATGGTGCCAAAAAGTGGGAAATGGAATCCGTCCAGGGCGCACAATTGCAGTCCCTCGACAACGTCTCATTCCAGGTCAATCACTTTGGACAGCTTTTGGATCCTGTTCAGCAGAAGGTCCCCCTGCTTGATCGTTTGTTGGTAGAGGGCATTCTTGGCATCTGGCCTGCATCACATGCAGACCAAGCCCGCATTAACCTCTAGAATGAACGCCATAAACGACTGGGGCGCACATGCTATCAAAAAGCGAAAGCTCATCTCAGATGCCGCAAATCTGCCTCGGAGTGCTGCGCTTGATATTGCACTTGGACTGACAGATGCTGTGCTGGCCGCTCTGCCACGGCACTCGCTTGTTTGCAAGCCGCCTGCTGTAATACACTCATTGTGTCAACTTCGCGACCAAAGGTTAGGTGGGATCCCTGTGTTCGACGACGCCAGTAACTGCCATCAAAAAAGGCTAGAGCTCGGTCATTTCATCGAAAGTTCCCAAGGCAACCTGACAAGCTGCACACTGCAGCGAGTCAAAGTTGGACATGCCACAGCTCCCAAGACTCTCATAGGAGCCCTATCCACACCCTTGTCTCCCAAGGGACATGACCACCTGCTGGCTGTCTCCCGGGCCAGAGCAATCAAACCAGTTCCTCTTTTATGGTTCCATTAGCTGGGCTTGATTACCACCGTTGACTATCACTGCCATTGCTAATGCCATTGTGAGACCACAGAAGAGATATGCCACAGACTAGAAAGGGGGGTTTGCTTTCAGCGCCCTGTTTCAGGACTGCAGCGGCGATGCATTGTTGAGTGGCAACCAACGCTTAACAGCCACGGCGATTGAGCATTCGCACCTGTTGGTTTCGACGACCCCAGCGACTTTGTCAATCTTTGCATGCAGCCGCCCTGCGACAATGAAGTCGGAGAGCTCCCTGTCGAGGAAATCCACACCGACATTGAACGCTGCGGCTACGGACTTCATGGTGACGCTCTTGTAGGACTCCAGGAACTGTGAGTATGCCACTATCCTGACTTCCCTGAAGTAGTTCCTAAAGTGAGGGTACAGGTACATGTCCACCTGTATCCGATCAGCCATCCGTGCCAGGGCCTGCCAATCCACACAACGCCGGGGTTGAGTGCGCCATCTCCTGATGGGTGAGAAGGCATTGAGTATGGGCAATACCAGGGGGATTTCGACCATGGAACTTTGGCTTGGCCAGTTGATACTGCCCATCAGGGTATTAGGAAGTGGTTGGGTTGTTGGGCCCCGCTCATAAGTCGCATGTTCTGTGCGATGCCCTAATGGGCCAAAAGCGTGTGACACATGGCTTCACTAATGCTGCTTCATCAGGACGTGGGGCATGGCAGTAGCATGCAGTCACACCTGGAAGAACTCACTATACTTGCAACGGTACAGCGAGTTGAGAAAAGATGCCAGGTCGGGGACGTCCTCGATAACAGTCAATATCTCGGGAGCATCCACGACCCTCTTCTTGAGCGAGACACGGTCCAAGGACACCATGGCCATCACAACTGCATAGAATATGCAGGAAGTGAAGGGGAAAAGTTCAGGCCTGGAAGAACACAAACCCTTCAGCATCATGCCAATGATGCCTCAGAACCGCAGTCCCAGAACTGGGTGAGGCCAGCACAGACGGAACAGTCAGGGGAACAATCAGCATGAACTCACATAGTGCGCGCCCTGGGGAGTTGATACATGTGACCATGGTGGTGGCAGTGTGACGATGAAAAGTCCCACACAAAAAATAAAACCAGTGGCATCAATGGGTGTGAAGAACAGGATGCTGAGCAGCTGTTTTCTGTCTTAATCGGGGTCAATATGGTGGGGATCTTGGGCTAGGCTCCTGTGCAAGTGGGACAGCTAGAAGAGGCTGTCAGTGGACCAACGAATTACAATCATCAAGGCAGCAGATTCAATCAAACAGAAGAGATGATAGCACATGACACAACCAACATCTTCTTTGCTGTTGGCCTCTGAACACGGCAAGAATACCGCTTGTGTTGACAGGTAACATTCCAAATTTCATCTCCACAGGTGTCCAAACTCCTTGTCTCCAAATGCCTGTCATTCTTCATCTGGCCATCAATCACTGTTCAGGGCCTTCACTGTCTTGCATTGTCTTCCAAGAATATGATAGCGCCTCAGCTATTCGGTTAGAAAAGATGGTGCCTCTACTCTCCAAAAGTGACAAACCTTGGAACCAGGCAACACAGCAGTCGAGAAGATTGGCATACTGACCACAACCTTGCATTCTTACGTGGCAAATGTTGCAGTGGCGTCCAGGAATAGGTCTGCGGCCTTCTTGTAGTCCCTGATCGTCATGCAAAAGACGGCTTCATACACCTGGTACAGTGGCACAGAGAAACATAGAGACTGTGGCCACACATTTAAGCCCATGTGTTGTATGGTATTCCTGTGCCACCAGAGGTTTCAGCACCATCTTTCACTGCATGGAACGAGCCTTGTGAAGCAATTTGCTCAGGAGACTGGTGTCCGTGTGTTTTCTTTCAGTTGAGTAGACAAATACATGCAAGCAAGTTGCAACTGCTCCACTGAGCTTACTGCCTGTACATTGAAAAGTGCCCCGTAAGCTGCAGCCAACACACCGAATGTGCCTACAGCCCAGTGAAAACTATGCTGTCAGCAAAAGTCGTGACCTGATGAAAGCAATGTACAGCATAAAAGGCCTTCGATCAGCGTAGGGGGCTGATCACATTTCTTTCCTTTTGGTGGCAGTTTACAACACTGTCACTTTACAGATAATGCAATTTACAGCACTGCATAGTTGAAGAGTGCTCTGCACCCCGTTCCTATTTATGTTGTGAAGGGCAATGCCACAAGTCCATGAATTGTGGGGAGAAAAAGATGGTCACGAGCCACTGCAGCATTGGCGTTGTGTGCCACTTAAATTTAATACCAAGGGCGGCATGCCAACGAGTTTATTGCCATTGCCCTCATTGGTGCCTGAACAAAAGCATGATGAGGCACTTGCGCTGTGTGTCAACACACATACAAAGTCCCATGCAATGCACACAAGTGTCTTGTGGCGCCAAAATTTCCCAGGGGTGAATCACTGAGGCAGTGTGAGCTGCCATCTAGAATTTCTTGCTTGTTTTTGCAAGATCTGGGGATGTGGATGCTGCCTTCAGCACATCGGGAGACTGCACAGCAACTCCAAAAAGCCAGCCACCCAACCCATTCCCCCCTCCCTTTCTCCCTCAATCCCCCCAAATTGTAATGTTTCACAACTGGCAGAAAGACACCCTCACTTCCCGCAAGTAAAATATTTCACGATAGGCAGATTGAGACCTGAAGGCAACAGATGAGTGCATGGTACCATTACTATGCACATTCTGTGCAAAGAACTGCTGGGCAGGGGTGTTGGAGGTCTTACCTTCACTTTGTTCTTTCGCTCCCAGTCCCCTCCCTCTTCACACAATTGCTTGACTTTTGTGAGGTTGGCCTTCACTGCAACCCAGTCGCCATACAACATGTCCAGCCTGAAACCAATAACAACAGAACTGTGATTCATGTCATGCCAATTGGAGGCTCGTCAAGGTGGTACACTAGCTCGGCACTGTTCGCCAGTGGGCTCACAGCAATAGGCTTTGGATGCCAGCAACACCGTACAAGTCTGTGCTGTTAAAAAAACGCAACCCGGACTACACTTGCTGCAGTACTTGGCTCATGCCAATTGCCATGCTTGAGCTCTTGATACAATGCCCAGTCTCGATACAATCTCGGCACTTGATACACATCTACAAAACACACCATGACATGGACACACACCCAGAGACGAACAGCAAGCAATGGATGCTCACGGCATTACAGAATCAAATATCTCGCGCACCCATAACTCAAATGCCCTGACATACTTACTTTTCTACAGAAGTCTGCAACAAACCCACCAACGAGTTCTTGTGAGGGCAGCACGAAGCCCATAGCTCCTTTGCAGGGACGCGAGCAGCATCTGCACTCTAAAACGCGATGCAACACTGTTCCCAAACGACAAACGGCTCCACCAGCGGACGCACCTCATCCTGCTGAACACCATGTCGATCTTGTTCCCAACCCCAGGCGTCTTCTCCTCCGTCGTCTTGTACGCCTCCGTTGCGCCCGCCCTGTCCCCGATGCTCGCCAGGTAGTCCGCCTTGGCGAGGCAGGCGTCCCGCACGTCCGTCTCCGTCAGGTTCTCCTCCGCATCCTTTATCTTCTCGTCCAACTCCCGCAGCCGCTCCTCATTGGCCTTCTGCATGCGGGCCAGCCTCTCGGCATCCACTCCCCAGCCCAGGGTCTTGCACAGGTGCTCGTAAATTGGCGCAAGATCTGGAGGGCACAGGAGGGGATCAGCGCACGCAGCAAGACGGCTGTCGGCGCATGGCGCCGGCGGCGACCGGCAACGCGCGGCCCGATAGGAAACTCGATTGATGCGCCCCTTCTTACCTTTCCCGTAGACGACCTCCAAGATCTCGGCCTTCAATTTCTCGCGATCGACGCCGCTGATTTCCTTGTTCTTGATCAGGAATGCCTGCGCGCCACGCGATGTCGGCGATCCCGCCAGCCAGAGCAACATTGGGAGTGCACAGCGTGGGCCCGGAGGCAAACCGCATTCCTGACCTGCTGCGCCAGGCGCAGTTTGAAGTCCTGCTCCTCTTCAGACCCCGTCTCCGCCATTCTGTTGCAATACGCGTGCAGCTGCCCCTAATCAGCTCCGTGGGGGATTGCGTTGCGATCCAACCTCGCACGGCCGCCTTTTTCGCACAGCTCGATCGCGCACGCTGGGCACAGCTCCTGGACAGCAGGGAACGCGGCCTAGAAGGGAGGCTCCGGACGCCGCGTCTTAACCGGAGCAGGCAGCGGTTTCGCGACTGAGTTTGCTGTTGCAGGGCAATGGTGTCCAGCCAGTACTTGGCTCCAATCGATATCCCAGAAAATCAAGGGGCAATTGCAACTTCACAAAGCCCGGAAATGACACACAAGTACTACACGGAAGCAGCACTAGAAGCCGACCGTACCCTCTCCGTCCCACGCACCCCGTGCCAACCCGGTTTGCGCACTCCGGTTCGCGAGGCTTGCGGGCGCCACCGTGTTCCGCTACGTTCCGCGACGGGCGCCGCACCGCTTCCAGCAATCCCGGAAGGCCGACTTGGCCATGAGCCGCAGGTGAGACGCCAGTGGGATGCGCAGCTCACTGTCTCCGCAGTCCCGGGGCTAGGCACCCGATTCCAGCCGCCTCTGGCACTTGCGGGTGGCAGACGTTCATGTTGCTCCATCGAGGATTCGATTTTGTAATCTGTGGGCAGAGATCCACTGGCGCGGGAGGGAGGCGTGACACTTCCAGGCATTGCAAACCGTGTGAGTTTGGACAATGGGATTGCACAACCACTTGGCGCCTTCCTTCCCATAATTCTCCCCATATTTATGTATTGTCTTCGGCTGCAAGATTGTCTGACGGTTTTTCCCGGCAGGGGCGGGGCTCCGGCGGTCGGCGCCGCCGCGGGCGGCGGCGAACCCATGAATTTTGAGACCACCGAGGGCGTCAAGGTGCACACGACCTTCGAGACGATGGGCCTGCGGGAGGAGCTGATGCGCGGCATCTACGCCTACGGCTTCGAGAAGCCCTCCGCCATACAGCAGCGCGCAATAGTGCCGATCATATCGGGGCGGGACGTGATCGCCCAGGCGCAGTCGGGGACCGGGAAGACGTCCCTCATAGCCCTCACGCTGTGTCAGCAGCTGGACACGTCCCTGCGAGAGTGAGTCCTTTCGCTGAGGAATCAACAGTGGCTGCACTTGTAGTAAAATGGCCCAAGCACTGGCGTTTTGGCTGCTTGGCGGTGGCGGGCAGGAGCTGTGTGCCCTGCCTGTTGCTGTCTTGGGATCGTAGTTTGCAAAACTTAGTGGGGTCGGGCGTGGCTGTGCTTAAATTGTGCTTTTGTGCATTGATGAGCCAATGCTGGTAGGTTTGATTGGAATTTATCTGGGTACCTGCAGAATGTAAGGCTACCAGTACAGCTCAGTTAGGGCTTCAATGTGTCTGGATGCTATGTTGTTGCAAGCAACGTGTTTCACCACATTCAAGCCCTTTGGAGGAGCGTATTTGGGGGAGTACGGCAGACCTCTCAGCAACCTGATCAGGACTTGTCCAGAGCACACAAGAAACATAAGGTCTGCAGCATGGAGGGCAGAGTTCTCCTCTTAACCCAGAGATGGCCATTGCCAGTGGAAAATCCATGCAACAACATTTGCCAAAACACTGCAAGGGGATGCTCATGGTCTACTGCAGTTTGTGGTCTAGGTGCCTCTAGATCGATATGTCATCATGACTCTTTTGGTGTCTTTCTCTTCATTTGGGACTGACCCTGTTGTGCTGTGTGTCTGTGCAGGATCCAGTCCCTCATTCTGTCTCCAACCAGGGAGCTGGCAGGGCAAACTGAGAAGATCATTTTGGCGCTTGGAGACTTTATGAATGTGCAGGCACACGCCTGTGTTGGAGGAAAGAGCCTAGGTGTGTTTCATCCACCTCCTGGAACTCTCCTTGTACCAAAACCCTTGAAACGCTCAGATACAGTTGCATTGACGTGCAGTTGAAAATTGAAGGCTACTTGACATGCACATGCTACCATTGGTGTACACAAGGTTCTTGTCATATAAATGTGTCAGCTGGTGTAGGGGTCTAGAACAGTCTACCAGAGGGCACCAACATGAATCAAAACCAGCCCACCACTGGAGATGGGGGCACTGGTATCAGTACTACTCACACAAGACCCACCGTGCTTGAGTGCTGCAAGCATCTAGGTGTCCAATTGGGTTGGCATGGAAGTTGAGACTCACTGCATCATGCACTGATTTGCTGAGCGCTAGACGTCATCACTGGACACGTTGGTGCCAAAGATTGTCTTTTTGAAAGATATAGCTTTGTCCTGTCGCTGGCACACCATCGATCGTCTTGAACATCTTCCAAAATGCAGCAGACGATGCACGAGGATCCGAGTACAACAGGAATAGTGCACATTAGAGGGGCCAAAGACAGCGCTCAGAGAAACGTCGCTTTCCTGATCGTTTCTTCTGCTCGCTGGAATTTTAACATGTTGCCTTTGAAAGAGAGTGCAGAAGACGTGAAAGACTTGTGCCTGGCAGGTGATGACATGTTTGCATCCAAAATGTTTGTCTGTCCCTATTTCATAAATTTAATCAGCTTGCCACTTGTATGCTATGCATGCGGACAGTGGTCAGGTTATTCATACTCAAGATGGATTCCCTATGCAGGTGAGGACATCCGCAAGTTAGAACATGGTGTGCACGTAGTGTCTGGCACACCAGGCCGAGTCTTTGACATGATCAAGAGGAGGTCGCTGCGAACGAGACACATCAAGGCGATGGTGCTCGATGAAGCTGATGAGATGCTGAGCAAAGGCTTCAAGGAGCAGATATATGATGTGTACCGCTACCTGCCAGAGACTCAAGTAGTGTTGGTATCTGCGACTCTGCCACACGAAGTGCTGGAAATGTCTCAGAAGTTCATGACAGACCCTGTCAGGGTGCTGGTGAAGCGTGATGAACTCACTCTAGAGGTGAGCCCGATGCTCTGTTTCCCCATTTCTGTGGGACTTGGGGGAAGGTTGGTGAAAGTATGGTCTGAGTACGTTGGGCTCCGCTTGGCAGGGTGCTGCCCTTGCTCCGCCAGGCAGGCGATGGCAGGTGCTGTTGCATTTGACGCATATGTTCCCACGATTTGATTGATACTCTTGTGTATCAGCCGGCCCAGTCATGTCACAACCCTTGCGATATTGATCTGCATAGTTCAGGTAACCCAACAGCTCAGGTTTTCAGTCATTCCTTGTAGTGATTTGTGGCTGCTCCACTTGGTTTGTTGTCCACACTAGAAGGGAATGGGGTTGGCAACATGTGACATGGAGCTTGCCTTGTTGGCTAGTCAACCTAATCAAACCATGTTGCCATAAAAAACACAATCCAAAACAAATACAACAGCTCACAATAAATGCACAACAATACGTAAAAAGAAAGCCACTAACCTGCACGCACTGTTCCCATTCATGGAAGCACCTCTGGGGGTGTTGCAAGGGAGCTAACACATCGTGATTAGGTCTTGCTGTCTATTGATGTTCAAGCCATTGTCCCTGACACAGCACTGAACACGGACAGCTGAAACCTGTTTTGGGAGATTTTGGTCCATTCAACCAACAACCCAGTTGGGCTGGCCAATCCTGTTCAGGTTTGGGGCTGTGTGGCAGTGTAAAGTTTCCCAAAATGGAGTTTGGCATTTGTTTTGCTCAGGGAATCAAGCAGTTCTTCGTCGCTGTTGAGCGGGAGGAGTGGAAATTCGACACCCTTTGTGACCTCTACGACACACTGACGATCACGCAGGCGGTGATCTTCTGCAACACGAAACGGAAGGTTGACTGGCTGACCGAGAAGATGCGGCAGAACAATTTCACAGTGTCATCAATGCATGGTGACATGCCCCAGAAGGAGCGAGATGCGATAATGGCGGAGTTCAGGTCAGCTGGTAACCTGCAGGCTTGTCTGTCTCCTTTGGATCGACCTTCAAGTGGAATTCTCGTTTAGAGCTGCTTTTGGATCTGGCTGTTCTCATGCTGAAGACTCGATTCCCAATTTTGGTTGCCCTGAGGATATTCCTTGACAACGTTGACAGCAAATTCTGCATTGCAGGTCTGTCTGTGCGCCTGCGTCTGTTGGCTTTTATTGGCAAATGCAATTTAGCCCATTGTGCGCCAGGCACTTGTCAATGAGTTTTGTTCATCATTGATCCTTGCTCATTGTTCCTGGATCAGGAGTGGGAGATCACGTGTGTTGATTTCAACCGATGTGTGGGCGAGAGGACTGGACGTGCAACAGGTAAACATGGATCCCGTTTATCCCGCTTCATGCCCATTGATGGCAGAAATTGCCTTGATTTTGTTGCTGAGGATGTTGCAGCAGCCAAAGCACTGAAAGCACCTGAGCAACAGAGCCCGGCTACAATCAGCAACTGAAAGTCTTCTCCAGTCGAAGTGAAGTCTTCTGTTGTTGTCTTGAAAATATTATGTGGCGTTTGCTTTTGCTTCAGTTGTCTATTCTCTTTGCTGCACTCCCACCAACTCCTTGGATGCTGAGCTGTCAGTGTTGTGAGAATGCCCACGGTGAATGATCATCAATTGGGCTTTGTGTGAGAAGTACATCGCTGGATCTCGCGGTGATGGTCAACCGATCGAGAATGCATCATGGAATGATCCACAGCAAGGGCGCTGGTGTCTGCTAAATTTTGTGCCTCATCCACAGCAGCGGATGGAGGAAATGTGTATGGCTGACTTGCCTTATGTATAATTAATTTCACACTTTGGCAAGATGTTGTGCCACTGGTCGCATGTCGACCCGTCACTTTGTCACGTTGAGACATTTATCATGTACAGGAAGGAGGCTTGGGGGTCCAGCTATGCTCGAGTTACCAACAATCCAAATTATTGCCTGTGTTGTGAACGCTGTGTCCATTGCTTCAACGTGGTCATGATAACCGATTCTGCACATTTGTGGCAAGTTTGTCTGTTTGTCTATTTGACACTGTCTTGACAACGACTATTCTTAAGAGTGTTTGAAAGCCAAGGCATATAGGCAAGGTATCTTTTGAGTCAAGGCGTTGGCCATGGGTGGGGATTCCTTCCAGCCACTTGCTCTGTACTGAATGGCGACTGGACGTTGACTGTCACAGGTGTCCCTTGTCATCAACTATGACCTGCCAAACAGCAGAGAGTTGTACATCCACAGGATTGGCCGGTCTGGAAGATATGGGCGCAAGGTGTGTTCCAATTCATTCCTTTCTATGGTGCAACCAACTGGAATCCAGCGCTTGAACCACATGCTTCTGTCCAGCTAGGCAGCGTGCCCCCATGTGAGGCATCACCAGGTACAGAGGCCTGGGAGTGGCTTTTGGACATCGGCCAGAGGTCGCCCGAAAGTTTGGTCTACAGTCTCCTTGCAGGCTGTTGAAATAATCAACCACAACATGGACAGCTCCATGACAGTGGATGGTAAATGCCATCAATGCACAGTTTGCAGTGTGCTAGTGCACAAGGATTGTTTTTTTGCGTAGTCCCTTTCTTTCAGAATCACAAAATTGCCAGAATTGTGCGGTAACGATGTTGCCCATTGTTGCTCGGTCGTGGCCACATCAGTATGCCCATTCTTGAATTGTCACTTAACCCTTGTGTCGTCCTTTTGCATGAGATTGTACTGCAGCACAGTTGCTCGGACAAAAACCGAGAGTCCTCACACACGGTCGCTCCGAGGCACAGGAAGCAAAGATGTAACCAGATGGACTAAGGACGAGTACGCCGGTGAAACAGAATTCACTGCCAATATTCTCCATTGATAATCACTGCATGTCCATGCCCGTTTCACCATATTTGGCACCATGTTCACAATATCCAGCCGCACCATAATTAACACCATATTCTGCATAATTACTCATCTATTTTTTCTCGCCCTCACAATTGCCATCCCCAAAATTTGGCATCTGGCTCTCGCTCTGCAGTTTTTCTCCCTGGTCTGTTCATGACGCATCGAATGGCAACCGTTGCTTGGTCCAGGGCGTAGCCATCAACTTCGTGAGGAACGACGACATCCGCATTCTCCGTGATATCGAGCAGTACTACAGTACACAAATCGATGAAATGGTGAGGAGGCGCACTTGTGCAGTGGCCTGTTTTGCTTCATTGTAACTTCGGACAAACGTGGTTCACTCAGTTTTGCATGAGCTGAATTCTCCCGGAGGGCTGCACACCGGGAAATGAACTCGGCGGCTCGTTTCCGCGACATCGATTCTCAGAGCCCAGCTTTGGAAGCTGACGGATTTTTTTGAAGATATTCGGATTTTTTTTAAAAAAAATCGGAAAAAGAACGCTAAAATCGCACGATTAACGGAAGTCACGGGAAAAAATCGTAAATATGGTACGGTAGTTAACGGACGGTAGCGGGTGGCCAGCGCCGACATCTACAGCTTCCCCGCGTGAAAGGCACCGTTGTACTTGCGCACGATTCGACATGCGATTGAAGGCCGAGGCTCTGTCTGCTCCAGCACCGAACTGCCACGCTATCGCCTTGCCGTTTGCCAGCTTCGAATGACATCCTTCTGTGTTGCCTTTCTTGCAGCCGATGAATGTCGCGGAGCTGATATGACACCTGTGATTTGGCAGTTTGAGGGGTATACGCCAACGGGCGACATACTAGGGAGTTCGAATTGCCGCAGGGCGGGGCGGGGATTGCAGGAAGCCGTTAATGGCAGCAGCGGGGGGTGTTGTGTGATATGCTGGGGGAGTCCAACACTTCGTGGCATAGATAGACTGCTGGACTGCATTGTGAGATGTGAGATAAGCGTGTGAGTTCACCATCAGGGGCGCACGTGACAAGGGCGTGGTGCAGGCCTTTTGCGGGCGCTGTGAGCAGGGCTTGGGCGGCTGCGGGTGCCGCTCGGGGTCCATCACGACTTCATCCACCCCAGGCGCAATTAGTAAACAGATGCCGCAGCGATGGCCTGCAGTAGTCCATCGGTGTCGCATTCGGAGCTGGGAGCGTTCTCAAATGCGAGTATGTTCTCCCACCGGCCTCGCCAGCCTCCTGTTGGTGGCAGTGCCCCACGGCTGCGTCCAGTGCCAAGTTCGCCGTCTCGCTAATATCATTCGCACACCAGTCACTGGGACAAGATTGCGCCGGGCATCTTCCAGACGTCTTCGCTGCACATGGCATACAATTACTGGCTGCACCAAATTGGTGACTGCTTGCACCAAGTCCCTCCAAAACTAACTTAACCTAACCCCTAACACCTAAAAACCTAAACCATAAACCTAGCCCTGACCTAACTAACCCCTAACCCTAACCCTAAAGCTCAACCTGAGCCTAAACCTGACCCTCAAACTGAGGTTAAGTCCTAGTCTGCAAGTGACTTAGTGCAAGCAGTCACCGATGTGGTGCAGGCAGTAATATTATTCGCAACACACGTACCAAAGTCCCCAGCAGGTCAGTAATGGCCACGTATCGCCGCTGGCTTCGCCCCCAAGCTACCGTTGGCTGCAACGATCCACGCGGCTGGTGCACTGTCGGGACAGTGCACAATAGTGAGACAGAACCCTACTTGTGACTCCGGGATCTCCAAGGTGAATAGCGCTGTTTCAACCCTGGTGCGCCGCTTGTACGGAGGGACCATGGAGGGGCGTATGCACCTTCGGGAGCGTTTGCTGCCAGGCGACAAGAATGACGGTTCGCACACTGAAAAAGTCAGATTAGCTTGGGCACCTAAAAGGCAACGTTCATGTGGTCTCCAACTAAGCTATGGCCTGCAAATGCATCTGCGCCAGATGCCCAACGGTCTTCTGCCTGAAGGGAAGTTCGATGTGCTGCAATCCAGAGCTAAGCATCCGGAGTTTGGTCCCTACTAGAGATTCTATCAGAGACTGCCCACTTAAGACTCCCCTAGTCAGTCTGAGCGTAAACAGGACTGGCCACAGAACCCTCCGACCAGACACGGAAATGAACAACTCCCCGCCCGCGAAGCCGCAATGAATGGACACACTGTCGCGCAGCCAATTGAGGCTTCGCGACGGCTGAAACAGCGCCAGCATCAATGCTCACCGTCTGGCCAGATTGTGGC